TCAGAACTCTTTTGTAGAAAGGTACTGCCGCAATGAGATGTTTAATGAGCGTTCAGCTTCACCGGAGAGCCCGGATAAAGTCCACCAAGCGTACGAGTGGGGCGACACTCAGCGCTGCCAGCTCCTGGCCTACCACACCAGGCAAGCCCTGGCGGTCACCCATCAGTGTATTAACCAGGCACCATTCTGCTTAGCTTGCAATAACTGACAAAGTTGGGTACGTTTAGGCTCAATTATGGTGATTTAGCGACATGAGTTTGATTCCCATCCACGGATAACATCAGCGGTAACTGGGATCTGAACTTGTTCCGAGTCTCAACTAGGTCATCTATTATATGGAGGAGTGTCGGGTGGGCGGAAACGAGATGGTGAGACGGTAGTGTCCCACTGTACGTCAATCAGATCTCAATCCTGCGCTGTATGAAGGTCTCCCCCACACCCTGTCATTCACGGATAGTTGTCTGTACCATACTTCACCACGCAAGTCAGTGCGAGTTGGTGAAGTGGAGGCCCAGGACCGGTTCAGATAGGACTCGGCGGTGATGTTGGCCGTGAACGGGAATTGAACTCAGGTTGTGAGGTTCATGGAACGGTGTGCAGGCCACTGGGCCGGCGCTTCACCCGCTGTAAACTGAGGCACTGGACCTCATAGGACGAACCGTGGAAACCTCCCCAAACGTAGCTATCACCTCTATGGGACCTTTTTTTGGCAGGATCAAAGTATGAAGAAAAAATAAGAATAGGTTTTACCCTTTCTAGCAATAAAACAGGAAGTGTTAAGATGCTCAAACACCAAGTAGAAACCTTTTCAAGTCTGCATTAACCGCACGTACCTGTGGCAAAGATGCAAACAAACAATGCTCTGATATTTTTTGATGCATTGTCTTTGAAACTCATTGGCCTACACCAGAGACAGCCTTATTTATGACCTTTTCTCACTGCCGGTGTCAGACCAGAGAACTTCAAAAGGCAAACAGTACAAGGACTTTTCAAGTGTCAGATCATTTATAGCTCGGGTTGAGCAGTTATATCTATAGATATAAAACCTATTATTATTATTTTTCAAACGTAGCCAGCATCGTTGGCTTCAATGCTGCAAGTCGCCCGGTTGGCTCCGGTGATTGGTGCTCTATCGGAGCTCTGAAGCTTTTCCATTTTTTGTGTTAAATGTTTAGCAAAAATAAACGTTTGTATAATTGTTCGTGTACACATGATTTTTGGCGAGCATTTTCTGGCCTGCTTTTTTTTGTTTGTTATTTATTTTCATAACCGTGGTGTTTGCTTTTACTGAAATTGTGTTTTGTGCTGTACATTGTTGTTTGCCATCCAGGTCTCCGTTGCAAGAGAAACATGAGTCTCGTGGGCTTAGCCGAGCTATAAACTATAAACTACAGAGTGTGTATGCGAGTCCGTGTATCTACGTGTAATTATTACTCATTATTTACGCTTATTTATCCAGGATAGCCTCACTGAGTCTCCAGGACTATATTTTTTTCAGGAAGTTCCTGCCAAGTTGTCACAGGAGGGGCCCACAATTGAGATGCGCTTCCCAATTAAATAATTTGCGTGTACTTTTTTATTTTTCAAATTTGGCAAAAATTGTATCATCTTCACACAGCGGCCTGCTCTTCTTCAAATTACGTAATGGACCCTTTAGCATACACCGCGACACAGACGTTGCGTATTTTATGGTTTAATTCATCCGCAATATTATTCGGGGCCGCATTTCGGATTCTAACCGTGAACCTCTGCAACAATCGGCACGCTGCCCTACGAACTTGACCACCATAATTTGAATCCCAGCCATGGGTAACGTCAGCATTGAGTGGCGTCTGAGCTTGTCCTGGGCCTCTCCTTGGTCGACTCGGTCTTAACTGAGTACCAAGTACAGTGTGTAAACATCAGCACTGGGAAGGCAAAGGTGGCCGGGCGTGGTGCTGGCCAGCCACCTACTCGCGTGCCATGCCGGCCTTCGTAGGTGCTCGCTAACGGCACTTTCCCCAACAGTCTGTTAAGGCGACACGGGGGATCTTTCTGTTTGCTGTGCGTGATTAACAAATGGTCCAGCGCTGAGAGCAATCACCCACCTGGAATGACAAGGTGTAGCAAACGTCGCACACTGGCTATCAATTGTGCTGCAAATGTTGGCCAAAAGGGGCCCTGTAATTCCAGGATTTAATAGCAACCGTGGTAAAACACATTTTGTGTCAACAGCGGCGTAGCGTGGTTGGCATGAGCCCTCATGCGAGGAATGAAATAGCCCCCCCTCCCCGAACCCCCTCTGTCTGAATTCCCACCCCTCTTTCAGAGCCCGGCACCTGGGCCCCCGTGGCCCATGGACCCCAGCGCGGTGGTGACGTGCACCTTACGCCTGCGCACTCAATAAGTATGCCACTGGTTTGTCAGCGGTTACATCTGGATAACGACCCGATGTGATTATCGTGCGGCCGCCCACACAACCTCACGCCGAACGGGCGCGTCTATCAGCGGAAGTCATTAACTCGTTCGTTTTGTGTTATCCGCTCTCTCTCTCTGCGTGTCAGTAGCCCGGGGCCCTTGCGCCAATTGTTTTTATGACAGATATTTATGATATCCACCTGTCAGCATGCAGTGACCTCGTCCACACAGACGGATGTTGGGTCTCCAGAGCTCACAATCTCATTGGACGTCTGGTTTCATGTCCCGTGAAAAATGCAGTCCTCCAGTTTTTCCTAGACTTTACTTTTTATGAAGGTTAACCGACCTCTTTGAACGCATTGTTCCGGCAGTGGAGAAGACATAGAAGAATGTTCCATTTTAAAGACATTCTTCATCAGCCATGATCTATCCAATGCTAGATGAAGGCTTCCGCGAACTCGTCACCATCTCTCACGGTCTAGCTATGCAACAACCCGTCTATTTCCTGCACGTGAGCTGATTTAATCACACCATTTCCGTGGGCGGAGGTCCTCTCAACCATACATTCCCACCGTTGGTTGCCATTCCATGATTAGTCTCGACCACTGACCATCGTCACACATCCAGAGACGTGTCTTACCCATGCCCACTTAATTTCCTAGCAGCAAATTGGATGTCTGCGCCACGCATATGTTCTTAAATCCACGTGCTCCTCTTTCTGTCTCTCAGCGTGCAGCTGTCTCCCTGCACGCTTCTCTGCGCACTTTTCTTCAGACTGTGTGCACGGAGATGAAATCCCACGTGGAGATGGAGCGACACAATCAGCTCGCGTGTGGGCAAGGCCGCGAGCAACGGCGACAGCTTGGGAAGTTCATCATCCAGCAGTGGACGCATCATGGCAGTCGACGATCGGTGTGATAATGATGATGATAGATGATATTTACATTGCGTGGAAATTGAAACTGTGGCGAGACTTGGGAGGCTCAACGTCGACTGCCACGGGGTGTGAGAGCTGTAATGAATGGCGTGCGTTGCCCCGGCATGCCGTTGTTTTTGTGCGATCCATCGCCACCGCGCAATGAATGATTGGCGTCGGATGACTGTGCGAGGGTCGCGGGTAACACCCGGCCGAGAGCGACGCCAAACCCACGCGGAGTCCGGGACAACGCCCAGCACAACAATACCACATCTGCCGGTGCCAGCAAACAAAGGGGTGGTGGGCGACGAGAGAGAGAGAGAGGGGGGAGGGGGGGCAATGTTATTTCGGTCCGGTGAAGAAACGCGCCGCGGTGTGAAAACATTACCGCTCTTAACGTGAATACTAAACACGCACGGGTGTGCGCGTGGTTTCTTCTTCTTAATGTAGCGGTGGAAATGAAAACATTCACTCGGCTTACGCAGTATGCTGGGACGTTGCAACAAAACAAAAAAACGGAACGCGCGCGAGTTCCTACAATGGAACAAAATCAGAGACGGCTCGTTGGAGTTTGCACAAAAGTCAAAGCGCAGCTTTGGGCTGGACGCGTCGGGAGGAGAAGGGGACGGCCGCCGGGGGCAACGAGGCCGAGGACGGAACGGCAGCTGAAGGAGGGAGAGCACACGCCAGCTCGACCCACCACGGGCGTGTCGGGCACGATGGCATGAGCTCGCGTGCAGCGGTGAGACGCATCGGGGCATTGCAGTAACCACGGTGACATTAAACGGGGAGGCTTTCGTCCAACAAAGTGGTAGAATGACAATGATTTTTTTTTTACCAGGTAAGGCATCAGGGTCAGGATCGAACCCACGACCTCCTGTATGCCAGGCGAGGTAGTTAACATCTCACCACTGTGATGATATTTGAAGACACATCATGTGCATGCTCGTCGCATCTGAGCGCGAATAAGGACAAGATAAAAAAAAACGTCAAGTATCTCTCTTCTGCGTGGAGCTACCTCTCCCTGGTGGGAGGCTCCCGTCATCAAAGGTCACATTCGCATTTCGCGAGGTCTAATTGGGTCTGGATTAATGGAGCAATTCAAAACCTGCACGGCCACAACCTCATTTAACGAACGACACCCCTCCCCCCCGCTCCGTAATAATAGGGAAGCTCAATTAAAAAAACCGTCGCATTACAATCTTCGAGGCAGCTAAAACTTACAGCGGGCGGGCCTGTCAACGGTCCCACTTTAAGCGGACACGAGAAGCAACAAGAGAGTGAAGGTCCAACACGGGGACGCTGGCCATACTGAGAGCGCGCGCGCGCGATTTAACGAGTCGGCTTCACAAGCAACGTGCATTCAGATGCCAAGCCGAGCCAAGGCGTTCCTTACACTGTACAGGCGACTTTTAGACATCATCATCATCCTCCTCTCCACCCAGTAAGCATGGAACGCAGGGGCCAAATGTCGGGGCAACGTTGGTGCAACGGTTCCAGCCACATGTCAACGTTGAACCAACGTTGACATTGTTTACTGGGTACTCACAACCTGAATGGAAACTGAAGGCGCACGGGATTCATCAGTGGACAAAGCAGCAGCAACAGCAGCAGGAGCAACGCACGACCCATTTGTTGCTCAAAGAGCCGAACAAACAACACGCGAAGAGCATCATCATCAACTTACCGTGCGCGCGAGTTCCTTACAGCCAACGGCGAGCGGCGCTATTGCCGGAGCCTCCCCGGTAAAGCCACGCTCCGCTCTGCGCCTCCCAATCTTCACTCCGCATTCTTTTGTCGAGTCAAATGGTGGCGCCTACCAACTCGGCAGGGAAACCAGGGACGGGGGGGGAGATTTATGTTTATTTTCAGCTTCCAAAAAAAAGAACGCCCACGCGCACCCAGAGGCATTTTCGCAGCGATCTGCAACCGCCGCTTGACAGCGGCTGCGATTGAGCCGATGGATTTTTGTTGTTAATGTAGTGGAGGGAGGGGGGGCGACACAACAGAGGCGTCGGTGTAAAAATTCGAGGCGGTTTGGTTGCGAGGGTTTTCTCAGAGAGACGTGCAAGTGACTGGGTGCTGTTATACAACGCGTTACTAATAGCAAACAGTACTTTTCATATCCCCCATTTATTTGTTCATGTAAATGAGTGAGCCGCGTATTTTCTGCGTCTGTGTGTGTGCAAGCTTCACACGCACAAATATTTGCCCTTCCCGTAAAGTATCTTGCACTTTTAATAGTTCTCGAGTTGAATTTACTCTGCGAAGATTGTTTTCAAAAGTAACAATGAATAATATCCCTCAGCGATGATTTCCGCTCGTGGCGCGTGCTGTTGCTCGGCACGATGTCCGACGTTTCGCTCCACGTGGCACACCTTGTCGGCCGACGCGCGCCACAACTCAAGCACGCATCGGAGAGCCGTACAGCACCTCCGGGAAAAACCTCCACGTTAACCATTCTTAGTTACGGTTTTTATAAGACCCAACGAATGGCTTCAGAGTGTCATACAGAAAAAAATTGTCATCTCTAGTTCACCTCGCATATCCTAGACAATAAATAAGGTTTTAGTTTATTTATAAATGGAATAATCTAAGCGGTCAGGTAGAGCGTTCCAAATAAAACTAAAACACAAATGTCAGCTCAACGAAGTGGCTTATCATCATCACGTGGACATTTATGGCAGCCAAATATTGTGAACGTACGTTTCTAAATGTGGAGATAGAACCGCCGGAGGACCCCGGAGAAAAATCCACGCGCCCACGGGGAGACAGAAAAGCGCAAACTCCACAAATACCCACGACCTCCTGCATACCAAGCGAAAGAGTAAACATCTCGCCACCGTGGCGCCCACATCTGAGGACAGAGGACCGAAAAATCCCGAGCTCCGAAACTTTTTTTTTGCAGAAAACGTGGCCGACAACCGTGCCAGCCTTGGGTTGTAATTTATCAAAAACAGACCTTTTTGCAAACACTCTCGAAACGCCGGTTTACAGAATGGCGAGGATTTCCTCCGCGCCGCCCCTCCTTCACTTCCTGTCGCCCCCCCCCACCACCACCTCGCATCGTTCGTTGGTCACACAAAGCGAACTGCAGCTGCTATCTGAGCGCGTGCTGCATACCCCGAGAACATTGACACGCAAGGCCAGGGCAGCATCCCCACACATCCATCGCAGCAACAGATAAGAAATGTCCGCGACGACCAGAGGTGGTTCCATGGGGTCAGAGAGACGCATTAAGCTCGCATTGCTCTACTGAGAGCCTGGGTTGGAATCTGGGAATTCGGCCACCCGTGGTTCAGCAATGTAACAATTCCTGCAGAGGTTTTCGCCATTGGGCTCTACAGGCTCTTAGATGTGCTATGTTTTTATCGGGATGTTCTGCGTATTGATGACGTATGTAGAGCGAAACGTCGGACATCGTGCCGAACAAAAGGGGGCACAAGGATCTCGAGTGCGAGCGTGCTGATGATCTCAGCTCGGTCACAAAATAACCGTACACAATGCCATTGAGTTAAACTTCGCACCTCTGATTAGCGCGGTTGGCTACGTACGGTGTGAAAGAAGTTCAACATGCATGCGTACAAATTTGCGTTTGCACTCAACGTTACTAAATCGCAGTTCTGAGAATTATATCAGTTTGGCTGTGATGTGACGTGCGCCACTATTTATGGAGAGGTCGGAGTCCACAGGTGGTGGTGGTGGTGGTGGCTGTGCTGCTGCACGTGGCTGCCTGTGGTCCAGCAAGCAGGAGGCAGCAGCAGCAGCGGGGGTTGGTGGATCATGCTGGGAATCTCCCCGTGGGCGTCGAGGAGGTGCCCCTGCATGGCTCGCCAGGAGAAGACGGTACAGCAAATGTGACCCAACATCATCTGTCCTATCTGTATGCCGTAGATCAGTGATCCTCACTCATTTTCGCTGATAAGACATCAACAATATGAGGGCCGCCATATATTTGAAATCGTCGGGGGTTTGACAACAGCACGATGATGATGACGATGGGGGATGTTTTCACTTTTTTGTGTATTGTCGTGCGGCCGCACGTCAGTGGCCGCACTAAAATCCACCAGGAGGCCACCAGTGGCCCGCGATAGGAGGGGGATGCCCCCTACACCAAGCGTGGATTCCCTTCGGGCGCTCCGGGATCCATCGACGCGTGTTAACACTCACCAGCCATTGGTTGGAGACGCCTGAAACCATGCGCCTCTGTGTGCGCGTGTGGATTGCGCGGCGTTCGTTGGTTGCAGTCGCATACATGGCAGTGCCATCTCAAGCGCTCACTGCTCTCGTTACGAGCAACGTTGTACCCGCGGTGTGACACACCACGGGTGGGGGAGTCAAGGGTGCGATGTGTATGAAAAGAGGGTCGAGAGGGAATGGGGAATAAGAGGAAAGGTATGGAGAGAGATCTGAGAAGAAGGACCAACGGGGCAGGAGAGATGAGGAGAGGGAGGAAGTGGCTACACCAGGGCCTCGACGCTGCTTCTGCGTTTACGGTGAGGTGGTGTGGAGAGGGGAGCGATTCAGAGTGGGGGGTGGTGGGGAGGGATTCAGAGTGTGGGGGATTCAGAGTTGGGGGTGGTGGGGAGAGGGGAGGGATTAAAAGTGGGGAGGGTTTCAGAGTGGGGGGGGGGGGTGTGGTGGGGAGGGATTCAGAGTGGTAGGTCGCCCACACACAAGTCGCCTGATTTTACGGGAGGCTTGAGCTCATTTAGATAAACAGATTCTTTGTCAACGAAATTTCTGTGCAAATCTCTTGGACAGTCGTTCTTGGACACCCTGGGTTGCACTGCTCCGCAACATTTACGAATGGATTCGCCGTCCCATGATCTAATACCCATAGCGCGGCAGGGAGTACAATCACAGCGGCTAAAACGTAATGAAAAAATATCGAAAATATTATTATTTGAAGAGATTAAAAATCCATCCCTCGCTCACCATCACCATCTGGATTTAGCCAAAGACACGGCCTTCTCGGGGTCAGTGACCCGAATGGACGCTTGCAAAGCAGAGCACCACCCCCTCCAGGCTGCTGCATTATTTAGAGGCGGTAATAGAGTCGCGGTAAATAACGGCGAAATAATGACCGACGTTTTAAAATGTTAAAGCTGCCACAGTTCAAGAGCCACCAAATCCATCTGACCCCGGACTTGCCACGCACGAGGCATGGTTTTTGCTATCTCCGCGGTAACACTCGCACATCATTATCGTCCTCGTCAGCCATGATCTATCCACTGCTCGATGAACGTCTCACTGTATCGTCTCCATCCCTGGTTTAGTTATACTATTTTAATATCTGTATTTATTCATAATCGCGAGTGCAACCTACCATTTTTCTACGGAGCCAAATTCTCGATTAGACGTCGTCTAATCTCGATTAGACGTCGTCTAATCGAGTCTACTTTTGCTACGTTTTGTAAATATTGTATTCTTCAATTGTTATATGTGTAACCCAGAGGGGCACCCTTGCGTCCCGAAGGAGTTATCTCATTCCCGGCCTAAATAAAGAGCAACTCGCACCCACGCAAAGGTCTCGTTGCTCCCCGCGTGCGCGCTAACCCCGCCGCTCCATCTCCGTGATGGCTGTGTCCAGGTGACGTGCGGTGAGGTCAATGGCTGGGGAGGCACTGGCTAGTGTCAGAGCCAGATTCACACACTGAGGGGGGGGGGGGCGTGGCCTCACGGAGGGGGCGTGGCCTCACTGATGAGACCAGCGAGCCTAAATATCTTAATACACAATACGTGAAATAAGTTACCTGGAGTATGGAAGGCGAGGACATTAAATGAAGGGGTCTACAAACATCCAGTTTACTGAGGGGTTGCGCAATCAGAGGGGAGGCTGAGCTCGTCGCTGCCTCACCTCTCGTCTCTTCCTGTATTTGCCGCGGAGCTCCGCAAATTTGGCGATTTTTGACTCTAAAAATGATTGGAATCGTACAGAAACAGCTATTTTGATTGGAGTATGACAGTTGAGGAAGCCCCTGCCTCCCCTGCCTCCCTTGACCGCTCTGCGCCTCCGCGTGGCGCCGCAGCACACGGGGACAGCGCAGCAGCGGTCACGTGGGGCGTCTGGCACGCCAAAGCGCGGCCCCCAAGCGCTGCTCGCTCCGCATTTGCTCCGCCCCCTCCATCACGGACCCCACTTCATTGTCTCACGTTTCGCTCGTCCATGTAGCCGCGGCTCAAAGATAACCCTCCCCCCCCCCCGGGTAAACTTAGCAGGCTGTTGGGACAAGTGCTGTTAGCGAGCACCTATTAAAGTCGGTACACGAGGGGGGTGGTTGGTTAACACCACACCCGGCCGCCTTTGTCTCTCTATTGGCGATGTTTACACACCGCACCAGGTACTCATTTAAGGCTGAGTCGACCTACGGGAGTCCCAGGACCGGTTCAGATAATCGTTACTGGTGTTGGCCGTGAATGGTAATCGAATCGCTCACACACATAAACACGTGTATGTACCGTATATACAAACACGTGATGTACCGTATATAAAATCAGGGATACATTTCACTCTGCTCGGTTTGGGTCAGCAACCTGGAAAAAAATTGTTCTACGTGCCCGGTGCACCACCTCCGGTATACCTCGCGCTATGATAAAGAGCAACAAGTTATCACGGCCACAGCTGCCACCGCTGCTGCCACCGCTTGTGCTGTCTTGCCACAGCGGGTCGGCCCCTGACGTCGTCCTAAGCCATCGCCTTTCCGTTTGTAAATCCCAGAGACGCAGGCCGGAGACAGACTCCTCGACTTGCAGCTGAGCCTGCCAAGCAGCCAGTAAATCCACCGTGATTGTTATTGTTTTTGTTGTTGCAAG